CATAGTGAAGAACATAATGAATGATGCAGATACATTTAGCTAAAAAAAAACAAAAAGGGTTATGCAGAATTAATTTTATATTTTATTTTTTGTGATGAATCGTGTTATGCAGATGAATATGTAGAAACTAGAGGTGCTGCAAAAAGTGATAGGTAAAAAGCCATTCTGATTTCCACTTCCAGAATTACACGTGGGGATAAGAAAGTGGCAGGTTATCTTCTGATTCTTCTCAAACACCACACCAGAAGCCTATTTTTGGCAATAATGATTGCCTTAAAGACCAAAGAGGAAGCAGAGTGGCTCATGGATGATTGGCATTTGATTCTGGTAGAAGATCTCCATGTCCATTGAAGATTAGTGCTTCCTCTATATATCTTGTGAAAAGATCTCTTCAACTGTAAAGGTCTAAGAGCTGTTTTCAAAATTCCAGACATATCATTCTTCAGTAGATATTTTGCTGTTAAGCTTCTTAACATAATACTTTTTATTCATTATTTAAAAATATAAAAATTAGGACATCCTATAATTTTAAATGTTAGGACTCCTTAAAAATTTGTTTAAATTCATAATAAATCTTCATTGTGTTAATTTATTAAGTATATTTTAATCTTTATATTATTATTTTTAACATTTTAATTATTGAAACGCCCAAATTTTCTCAATTCCTTAAAAAAACTTTATGATTATTTTATATAAATTCATGATTAAAGAATTCTGCAAAAAGTCTGCTCAAACTTAACTTGTACAACAGCTACGATTAAGCAAAACAACTCTCTAATTAACTTTTTAGAAAAACAGAAGCTGTTTTAATGACACCATTCAGCCAACTTCGATTTTTCAACAAGTTTTAGCCATTCACTCTAGTCAAGAACCAAAATGTAGCACCCACCAGTCCACCACATTTAGAATAACAGATGAATCTCTATCATGCCTAAAAAAGCTTCCATCGGCCAAGATTCCTATTACATTAGATGCATTTTCAACATAATACGTATAAGAAGCTTTAATTCAATTGCCTACATATAATCCAATAATTTACTTTTCTAACCAGCAAAGTTTACCAGGCTTAGTTCATACAATGCATTGACTTTGATTTGATCACAACTTCATTTCAAATATCTTAAACTGATTGCATATGAATGGGAAGACAATGAACAATGGCAAACAAAAATTCTGGACATTGATAGGAAAGAAATAGGTGATGAATACATGCATGGCAGGCTTAGTTCACGTGGAAGAAATCCAGGGCAGTTAAAGTTAAGATTTAGCTGTTATTTGAATGATCCACTACTAGCAATGCCTGAGCCTCCTTAATTGTTGAAACATTTTCTAGTTCTGTTTCAATCTTTTCTGATAAGAAACAAGAATCATCTATAGGATCCAACAACTGATTTACCTTCTTGGCAGCTTCAGCCCTCACTGTCTGCAACTGTTCCATTCTTCTCAACTTCAACGGAAGTTCATCTTTAATCATCTTTATTTCTGCCACTTTGAATTCTGTTTCATAAACATGATGATGACATTCAACAATCAAATTCTCAATTTCTGTTTTTCCACTCTCTGACCTCAAAGAGAGTTTCCTCCTCTTGGACTATCCCTTGCAGTGCAAGCTCCATTTCCTCCACCGACTTTGATCCTTTCAGTATTTCCATTAGAACAGCTTGTGCTTCATCCTCAACCTTCATGGATTTCTTATTCAAATCATCAAATTCTTTTCTCATGACCCCAAGTTTTTCTCTCAAGTGCTTCATCTCGTATTGCAGTTTGTTTTTCTCTTCCTCAGACTTGAGTAACTCAGTAGCTTTACCTCCCAAATACCGGTTTCTTTGTGTAGAGTCTATTTTCTCAAAGTTATCTATGGCAAAGAGAACCTTTTCATTCTCACGTCTCCTATTCTCTTCCTTGAGTTTTGATTTCAAGAGAGCAAGGTTGTTCCTAGCCTCAGTTTCAGATTCTTGCATCCTCCCCAGGGAAGCCTCAATTTCCCCCTTGCAAGCTTGAAGATGAGCCAGTTCCCCTTTCTTTTTTTCCAAGTAGGACAATGAAGCACATAACCTTGCCCTTGCTTGAGCTTCTCGTTGTTGAAAGTAAGCAACTAATGAAGAAAAGCTTGATAGAGAGTATTTGAGTGCTGATAGCTTTTTGTCACTAAGATCTTTTCTCTCTTTCATTTCTACATGAAGGACATGAAGGACCTTAAGAGATTCAAGCAATTGCTGCTTCTCCTCTATAACTCCTTCCATTACTTCCATTTGTCTGGAAACCTCATTGACCTCAATGAGTGCTTTCTCGAGGGAACCAAACAGATCCATGGTTTTTGCAGAACCTGAAAATTTTTCCTGTGCCCTTTGAAGTTCTGTTTTGACCAAATTTAGGTACTCTGGTAACCTTGTTGTGGTGATGCTTGATGGATGTATTTCCATCAAAGAGGTACCTGTTTCTGATTGATGATGGCCAACAGTTTTGTTGGACTCAGAAAATTCATTCATAGGAGAATCAATTTGAGCTTCCTTAGATTGAGAGCTTGAAAAAGCAATTCAGATTAGTTGTGAACTGTGTCAATAAATATTGCTGCAATGTTTTGGAACAGCAAAGACAAATATAAGAAGAAATTAGTTTCAGCATTGGAACTATGAATCTTTCACCTGACCCGAGATCAGTTGGTTGCAAACAATGTCGACTCCAGGGACCATATCCAAGTTTACTTCCTGTAGCACATAAACATTAACAAAATAAACACTTACGTAATATTTCTCATGAACAAATTCATATTTGGATTCCTTAAGGTTCTTGCGAAGAACCTGAACCACTGAAGGATCTGATTCATGCATGAGTTTCCAATCAAGTGCTTCCAGCAACTGCATGTTTACTTGAAATAGTGTCAGGCTACTGTATTGCAAGAATATAGTGACCATGAAATGTTACAGCATTTTGAAGATCAATTTGCACCTTATTCTTTAACACTGCAACCTGTTGATTCATCATCTCACGTTCACCTTCATCAAAAAGTAACTTTAACCTGTGCTTGGTGAGATAAAACGTAAGAAAAGGTCAAATAACATTTTATTGAATTTGAGAATTAGAAGCACATGCCTTCGGATTTCTTCCTTCAGTCGCAAATTCTCCATGGCAAATCTGGTCACTTCTTGGTTCCTATCAAGTTGGGCTCATAGAACCTCAATTTCTTTCAGATATTCCTCCTTTTCCTTTAATAAGTGTGTCTCAGAAGAAATCTTCCCAGAAGCAACTGCCTCCAACCTCTTAATTCCTGCTTCTAGAAAGCGTAACCTCATTTTCAGGCCTTGAATCTCATCTGCTCTTTGTTTTGCCTATTGGAAAAGAAATGGTGGAACTTAATCTTGACAAAGCCAATAATTATGTTAAAAATCTAAAGAAAACTCAAAAGTACCCCACCACCATAGAGAAATCAAGGACAAGATGATATTGACAGCTAAATTTCTTTTTCTAAAAATAGAAACAACTCATTTTTTCCTGTCCAAGTTATAATACTTTTTACATGAACAGGCAATAGACTTCAACTTGGTACTCATAAACCCCATCAATATATATTTTAGGTTATTTCCCTTCATGTATACCAATTGCATTGCTGCCTGATTTTCAGCTGCCATTGCCTGAAGAGCAATTTCTTTTTCCCTTTCCCGCTTGAGGGCCCCAACAAGAGCAACTTCATAGTCCTTCTGGAATGCAAATCATACAAGGAAGAAGAAATCAACCTTTTAACCAACAAATCTTTACAAGATACTTCCTTAAGCAAGAATAGTCCAAACCTGAGACATTTTTTTGTCAGACATAAGTGGACTAAATGACCCCTGAAGTCCTTCCCACTTAATTGATCCTGGTGATCCTGGAAAGCTTAATGTGTCATTATCAAGAACTTCACCTCCACCATTAATTAGACCTCATAGACGGGATACTTCTCTCTGAGAATCCAGTTATTGACATGTGTAAGAATAGAAAAAAGTATCAAAAAATATGCAAACAGAATTAAAGAAACATTTGATTTCACTTATTCAGATTTATTAGGTCCCTAGAAAATAGCAAGTCTTACCCATTTTACCTTTTCCTAGAAGAAACACTGCAGTTTCCCAATTCCTCAAGATCCAATAAACTATTGATATAATGATGATAGATTACTCAAGAAGAAGAAACGTGAACCGGATACCTTAAGCTGTTGAATTTGCACCCTCATAGCAATAACATCTCCAGAAGCATCTTCATTCACAACCACCTGCAAGAAAATAATATGATAACTTTTCTAGAAGAAGTAGATGTCATAGACCCCAGGAACTTGAAAGTCTGAAATCAATCCCCATGGAGATATGAAACTAACTCTTAGAAAAATGAAAAGAAAAAGTAACAACCTTACATGATATGTGTAATGCAGGTAGATTGCACTCTGAATATGGGATATATAGTAAATATAAAAATGAAAATGAAAGATTGTATACATTGTTCTTAATAAATTTAGCTCGCTGTGCAAACTTCAACGTGCTTAATGTCTCCAATGAACAACTGCAAGTGATTCAAAACATAGCAAGAAAGAAACAAGTCATTCTAAGATGCATGCTTGTACAAAACTAAGTATATAAACCAAGCCCATAAAAAATGTACAATAAAAAAGACAGCATGATTGACCTTTAGGTTAACTTATTGCTACAAAAAGCAAAGTGAAATATTCCATTGACGCTAAACTTTGAAAGAGAATATGAAAAATGATTAAATGTTCCTTTTTGATACATAATCAACCCCTATAACATAGTAGTTACCAGATGTAAAAAAAGTACAAGTCGTGTAAAATAGAGTTAATTTAAACAGTTAACACAGGTTAAGACCTAGAATGAAGAAGCACAACTTACAGACATTACTCACCAACTAGAAGGACTAATGTTTGCAATTATGATTGTCTTTGAATTCCCTCCTAGAGAATCCTGAAAAGAAAAGAACATAAAACATGATCAAATGGAATTATATCTTGTAAGAGGTCCTTGAATGATACCAAACATTCATGTATAAAATTACAAAACTGGAGTTCCATTCAGAATCTACAATCACATCTAAAGGCTAAGTAGCAGAATTTACATCTCAGGAGTATGTAATCCAAATATAACAACCCGCCTGAAGCAAAAGAGTAAGCTTTGAATCCCGGTAAGGTACATGAAGTGATTTCCCATTGGAAATGCTACGAAGGTTCATGGTCACAAGTCTGCAAGACAAATAGATCAAACCATGAGACTTCAAAATTCAATGCTTATGAAATTATTTTCATTTCATGAAAAGAATCAAGTGCTCAAAGAAGAGGCTCACCCCAATGTTGAAAGAGACTTGTTAATATTAGTAGCTTCTTTGAGACGTTCACCTTCAGCCCCAGAACTCTTTTGCCTGCAATCAAAGGAAAAAAAATCATAAAAAAGTTAATCAGAAGTTAAGAGAAAAAAGCATAACTATCATTGATAATTTCATGTGATTTTTAAGTGCTCTTATACCTTTCAGAGCCAGCTAGATCAACCAGATTAAGCCGAGCAAAGCGGTGATGAGTAACACCTTGCGATTCCCACTAACAAAGAAGACACAAATTAGAACTTTTTGTACCAAAGAAAACATTAGATTATTCAGAAAACACAATAAGCAGAGTTCAAAAACTTATATGGTGACTTACTTTACTTTCAATGGCACATGTAAATACACTGTGAGAACGACTACTTGTACGAATCATATTTGTCGCAGCCACCTTTCTGTTTGCTGCACCCTGAAATTGTCATAGAGCTTTTGTCAACTATTACTGATCCCAAACTTGGATTAAGAGAAGTGAAATATCTCATGAGAATAAAAGCAAGTGGTTAAAGCACTTGTAATACCCCAAAATTTCAAGAACAAATAAGTGTGAGTTAGGGACTTAATTGTGAAAAAATAATATTATTGAGTTTAATTATCAAAATTTTAAACTTGAGGGGCTTAAAAAGACAACAAATTAGGATAAGGATGGGCTGATTTTCTTTCCCTTCTTTTTCTTCCTCAGCCGCGTGTTTCTGCTCATTTCCTTCTCCTCTGCACCGAACCAGCCTTCAGCCAAGCCCAGCCACCACCGCCTACTTTTCTTGAAAAATTGGTAAGATCTTGGTAAAATTCCCTTCCTTTTTCTTGTTAAACAACAAGATTTAAAGCTTAAAACTCTCCCTAAACCGGAAATTTTTCAGATCTGCTGTCTTCTTCCTCTGTTGCCGCCGGTTGCTGCTGGGGTGAACTTCGGTTTTCCTGGTAAAAATCAACCATGAAATCACCTCTTAAGCCTTGATTTGTGTTGGGTTCACTCTAAT